TAATTGAATTATTTAAAAAAGTGTTATTTTTGGAAAGCTCTGCAGACCGCACGGTTTGCATTACGAGATTAAATTGAGTTAAGATATTTAGTGAGAGCATATACTATGATATGACATACTAAAATTTGAAACTTTTAGAACAAAACCCAGAAAAAAATCAATATTTTTACAAAAAGTCGTCAACAAAACAATTGTATTATTATAAGTCAATGTCGGTTTTAAAGAGCTCTACAGGACGCACCGTTTGTACTACAATGTTATAATTTCAGTATGTTACTTCAAATGCATATACTATTATGACATATACTGAAATTGATAAGTTTTCTTGCCAAAATTATCCACCAGAGCCCATACTATTACCGAGTCACCAAACGAATTTTAAAACATTTGTGTTAGTGAGAAAACAAAGAATTTAATTTGATGTTTGAGTAATTTTTAAAATTATATAGAATGTAGCTACAGTGCTAAAATTTGAGTATGTGGTTCGTCAATGCATATACTATGACCACAGATACTAAAATTGATAACTTTTAGAACAAAAATTCAAGAAAAAAGTAATTTTCTATGAAAAGTCCGAATAAAACATCAGTACATATATGAAAAACAATTGAAGTTAAAAGGTTATTTTTAGAGAGCTCTCCAGGACGTACTATTGATACTAGAATGCTCAAATTTGAGTATGTTACTCTTCAATGTATATACTATGACAAAAAATACTAAAATTGATAAATTCTAGAAAACAAAAATGCGAGAAAACCAACAAATTTTTCTTAACATACAAATAAAAAATATAAATCTCAAACCAAAACATATAGACCGATTCTGCCTTAACATGGCTACGCTCTGTTACCACACTTGCAGGTTAGCATAACATGCCTCGCGTAAGTGTATGTTAAAGATTTGTTATTCTCGGCGCACCAATTTTATGAGAATGAATCGTGTTATGCGTAACATGAGCGAACAAAGATTTGGTTTTTGATGTTGGCTCTCTGTGTTTGTACTCTCGAAATCGGCAATAATCTATCTCTACGGTGCTGACGCGAACGGTTTTTTCAATTTTGGATATACTTGTACTGGACTTCCAGTCAAAAAGCGTTCACGATTTTTTTAGATAAATATATTTTACATACAAAATGGCCAGTGATACGCAAATGAAAGAGCCAAAAAAACTAATCCGGCGCAGTACAAAATATATGTTGATTTTTTAATCAGCAACCCACAATTCGTTGCTAATAAATTAAGCCCCTCGTTCGACAAGGATTATTTCAGTGCAAAGTGGGAGGAATTGACCAATTGTTAAACTCATGTGGTCATGGGCCTAATAGGCCTACTGAATCCTGGATGAAGGTAAAAGTTTTTGTGCTAGTATGTTTATTTTTGAAAATGATATTCATATGTTATTAAATTGATATAGATATTTGCGGGTTAGGAAAACCAGACAAAAGCCAAAGCAAGGAAACAAAAAGCTCATACTTTAGCAACAGGAGGTGGGCCTGCATTAACCAATTGCTTGACAGAGGTCGAACAAAAGGCCTTAGGTGTTTGGGGTCTAGGGTCAATTGATGGCCATCCAGATCTGGAAATGGATATTGGACTAAATGTAATTTCATTATATATAGTTATAATACATATACACATATTAATTCTTTAATAGTATCCTATCGAAAAATCTGTCAGCAACGAGGCTGAACTTGATTCTGTTAATGTTGACTGAGGTAGAAGATATATGCCACCTCCAGAATTTTTAGATGATGCCCCTAGACCACCAAGCAGAGACGAAGAACTTCTGGCAATAGTAAGTATAATTTTCTTCTATTTTAATATTAATATTACTTACTATGTTATACATTTTTTTTTTTATATTTTATTATTGAAGATGAATTAAATCACCTCGTAAACTCAATGGAATACGTATTGAAAAGACAAACAGAGTCTCTTACTAACATGATGGAGAAACAGGACAGAGGCGCTGCAATGCATAGCTGATCAATGAAATTCTCAATAATACAATAAAAATAAATTTAACAGCCAATAAATTTTGTTTTTTATTCCTTATATATATATATATATATATATATATATATATATAGATATATATATATATATATAGAATTTATGATATGAGTGGAACGAATATTAATTGTTTAATATGAACAAAACAGCACTCAGATTTGTTTAACACAACTTTATTTTATGATTACAGACGTTTCGAGACCATGGTGTGTCTCATCTTCAGTGTAATTTCAAAAACAGTTACTTATATACTACACATTCTTTAATAATTTATTTAAATTTCATTTAATTTTGGTATACAAAAAAACACCAACTATTCCTTGCAATGCTTGACACCGTACTAAAGAAAATATAACACTTACAGAAATATTCTAAAAATTTGAAGTACTTATATAGATGGAGACAGAGAGGGTATCATTATAATGTAAACAGAGTTCCTCCTGATTGTTCCTTTATGAGTCTTGACGTCATTAATTATTAATAATCTTCCGCATGATCTAATTATACAGCCATAAAGAAAAGATGGATACAAATAGTTGAATCACTGTTACCAATGGAAATTTTTATTTCAGGAATAGAATTACTTTTAAAAAAGCATCATATTTCACTTTTAATAAAAAATATATACGATGAGAGAGGTTGTCAAGGGCAGCCCATTAAGTCCTGTTTGGCGGATTTAGTATTACAAGATTTGGAAAAATCTGTCTTAAATTCTTTACCTTCCAAACCTATGGTCATTCAGATATGTCGATGACACATTAATATTACTTATAAAAAGATATAGATAATGTTTCAACAAATTCAATGGTACAATTCTTTTTACAATTCACTCAGGAACTTGAAAATGATTCGACGATACATTTTCTTGACGTAAAACTCATTAATAGAGGCGGTGTATGTTATACAGACTGGTACAGAAAAGATAGTTGGTCGGGAGATACATTAATTTTAATTCGCATGTTCCTCTCAATATAAAAATTTCTACCATTCTAAATCTTGTAGATCACGCTATTTTATATCTGATCCCCTGTTTTATGATACAAACATAAAATTAGTTAAAACGATCCTACTTGGCAATAATTTTCCATATAAGTTAATTTGTCCAATATTAAAAATAGAGTCGCAAAATTACTTGAACCTTTTGATAAGAAACCGGAAGAGGCCTGGCAAAAACAAGTGTTCCTGAAAAAAAACTTTTTTCATTAATTTCCATATCTTGACAATAATTTTAACCAATTATCAAAAAGACTTTTCAAAAAAACACAATATTCGTATTACTTTTTCTCCATTAAAACAATTAAAATTTTTATATTCCAAAATTAAAGATGAAACTCCATTAACAAAAAGAAGATATAGTTTATAAAGTAAATTGTTTGGATTGCAATTGCTCTTATTGGCCAGACCTGCCAGAACTTAGAAAAGAGACTCAGGCAACAGAATTACAATGTGAAAAATAGATAACAAAAAATTTAAAGTACACTTGTGGATCATGCTAATATCAACAACCATAAGTTTGATTTGACAATCCCCAATTTTATTCCATGAGAAAGGACTTATTTAAACGGAGCATAGCAGAATCAATGTTAATAGTTCGGGACTAACAATAGCATAAATCTAAGAACCGACTCAAATATTACTTAAAATAACATTGCGATTACTATTACTTTTATATTATTTTATTTATATTATTGAAAAAAAAGATTTAATTATGAAAAAGCGATAATCGCCTACATATATGATAAGAAACATTTACATCTAAATATATTTTTCATACATTTTTTCATAAATAATAAATCAATATCTGCCTCTCTGTAAGCTTCTTGTTCAATGTAAAATAAAAATATTTAACATTGTAAACGTATCAGGTATCATCAAGTAAATTATAGTTTTCTAAGTATTGTTCATTATTGTTATTAATTAAATAAAATTATACAATTAACCTCTTCCAAGTCCATGTAAGGACCCGCACCTTCTGGAAACATTTCATCAGCAACAATTGTTGGTTTCATTGTATTAACTCACAGATTAAGATTTTTCTAAATAACTTTTTTAATTTTATATTAATGGTCGATTTATTACCAAAGCTGTCTATGATTCAGTACAAAATGCAAATAAAATATGAAATTTCTAACCTTAACCATTTCTTGCTACAATTAAGTCACAAAGTTTGACATTTGTATGCGAAAAATTCATTGCCAACAATACTTATGAATTGTGTTAAACTTCATTCATGTTTTTGATAGGAAGATTAAATTCTAATTTTGTCTAGGGTAGATACCTAGACAATATAATATGGGCTGATAGGCGCCTGGTTAATGAACATGGACTCATAGATAAAAGGATGGACTTAGTGATGGAACAGAATTACTTACTACAGGGGCTCTTCAGAAGAATAATATGATGAAGGTAAAGGCATGCATGATCTTTTTGAACATATATCAACATTGGAGATAATGTGCTCCTGGTTAGATTCTACATTGAACTCTGATACTCATCTAAATATTGTGATTCAAATGAATGATGAAGTGGCACTTCATTCTAGATTTGTGTAGCTAATGGGTTGAAGAGATCATCAGTATCTGCAATATGCAATATTTAAAGGATCATCTTTGTTTGTGATTGAATCATAACTTTCCTTTTCTGAACTGCCTGATAAAGTACCAACTGAAGATAATCTTTGTGAGTTTTGCAGATAAGTTGCATCCACACTCAAAATAGCTCTAGATATCAATAGATGGTTCATTAATAGATCTGTTTTAGGGTTTGACTCGTTGCAATCCATTATATTTTTGGGTTTGATTATTTTTAAAATGTTATGTAAAGCTGTTGGAGTTTTGTTGCCTGAGTATTGAATATGTATGCCAAGTTTTTGCAAATATTTCTGATAAAAATGGTGATACTAAAATGTGGTGAACTTGTTTCTCTTTATAATGCCTGGAAATGAAAAAAATGATTATAAATGTAGTTATAATAATGCAAAATGATTTATATTCGAATACCTGAAACATGTTTTATTATCTTGGCAAGGTTTTGATTTAACAACTTTTAAATCTACATTAAGTGCCTTTGTAAACTTTGTATCTTTCTTCAATAGCTTCAAAAGTAATAATCTAATACTCCCGATGTGTACAGTGTGACCCTTTATAGCAATTCTAAGTAACAAATCTTCCATTTCTATAACCTCTAATGCTATAACAACTGTTATAGAACTAAGATAATAAAAATATAATTGTTATCTGAAAAAAACTGTAATTGTTTTAGATCTTAACACTTTCGGATACTTAACATTGTAAAACGAATTACTTAACATTGTAAAACGTATCAAGTAAGATTAGTTTTCTATGTATTATTTATTATTGTTATTACTCTTATTTAAATAAAATTATAGAATTAACCTCGCCTTCTGGAAACATTTCTTCAGCAACAATTGTTGGTAATAGTTTATTTAATATGCAATATGTGATTTAGTTTTTAAACATTGTCAAAATGTAAAATTAATCTTTGTATGTAATAAGTATTACTTTCATAAAAATGTTCTATATTATTAATAGCTATAATCTTTATTTTATAAAAATGTGATTCATTAATTTAATGTTAGGTAAAATTTTAATTAATAAATAAATACTCCTTGAAAGACATTTACAAATTTTTTTTTATTGGAATCTGAGTGCACAAAGCAGCCTATACAATATATAAAAGAGTGCATATGAGTGTATACAAAGAATACAACATCCTTAAACACCATAATGCACTATAAAGCAAAAAAGTTAGAGAGCATAAATAAATACAACAGAATAAATGCAGAAACATTACTATTTATTTTATACATTAGCAACAGTATGAAAATAATAAAGAAATTACAAATCAATCAAATTGATATATAAATGATTTATATATGAATAGCAAAACATCAGACTGAATATATATATATATATATATATATATATATATATATATATATATAACCCCAATACATTTTTAAAACCTTTTCAAATTATGAAATTCTTCACAAAGAGCTCATTTTCAATATTAGATTATTTTATAGGTATTTTACCTATCACTGCACTACCACCCTGCTTAAAATACGCAAATACAGTTTTTATCATCGTAAAGGTGTAGTATCAGTAAATACATACAGATTGAAAAAGTCCACTTACTTTGCCAATATGAAATGGAAAAGTCGATGAATTTTACATATACTGTTTACTTGTAATATCACGTTCATGCGAACTTTTCAAACTTGTTGAAATATGTTCTTTTGAATCAGATTGCACTTTTGAAATATCTCCTTCTCCTGGAAAATTATTCTTCAGAGCAAGAGGTCAGAATTTCAAATCTTTTATGGCTTGTGGGAGGTCAGGTAATTTTATATCCTTAATTTGTTGAGGTATGTTCATGTTTTTAACAGCACTAACAGCCCTTCCCGGTGCTGCAGAAATACCTGCTTCCTGCTTTTGTAACTTATTCTGTTCTTCTATCCTCATTAAAATTTCAGACATATTAGTTTGCAAAACCATGCCTCCCATTACTAGTTCATTTAATATAAAATGTACTGAATCAGCATGAAAAATTAAATCCAATTCACAAACATTTTCAAAACATTTATCCAATGTTTCCACAAAAACTTGTATTAGATCTAAGATTCCTAACTCGCTTTCACAAGAATCTACACAGAAGACAAAATACAGTGTAGCATAATGCCTATATATCAATTTGTAATCTGAGCCACCAATTAAGCTTCCGCCTTCTAAAAAATTGCATACGTTATCATCTCTCTTAGAAACTAAATGGAATGTTTCTTTGATAATTTGTTGCTGCATATCTTCATTAAAGTATTGATAAAACTTGGATAGCCGAGGCTTTCCGTGATTATTGAAGACAAGAATAGCCTTTATCATAGTGATAATTTAATAATATATAAATTTATAAAAAAAAATTAATGTAAAATATATTAAACACCAAACGTAACTGCCAAAACAATCGAATAACAAGCATTAACTACCTACGTTTTATTTTATAACTAATAATAATTTTAAAATCTGTTAACAATTTTAACATCAAAATAAAAATCTTTAAGTCAAAGAAACGAATGCAAGCCATAGATATGCCATAGATTATAGATAACAGAGATACGCCGCTTTCTCAAACGTCCTAAAAGACAAGACCACATCTCTTCTTTTATCTATGGACAAGACATATTTGTTTATTTGTTTTTATGTTTTAAGACAAGACTCTTTGTTTATCTATGAGTATACTCTTCTTTTATCCATGGAGTATACTTTGCTTATGCTGACTTATGCTTATTTATCTATGAGAAGTATCTGACTTATGCTTATTTATCTATGAAAGTACCATGAGTCCTATGAGTCCTATGAGTCCCTAGACATGCCCTAGAGCCTAGACATATCATCAGAATATGATGTATTCATATTGGATTCATAATGGAGAATACTCACTGAAGATATCTGCCAAGCATAGATAAATAAACAGAATAATTAGAATTCAGTTCTGTAATGGCTCGACTCCATTGCACGAATCCGCACGGCGAATCTGTTCGCAATGTGCGCAGACTAAATTATTGCAAGCAAAAGCAAACCAAACCACACGCATGTCGAAAACAGGATTCGCCGTGCGCGTTCGTGCAGTGGAGCCATGTGGAGCGCACCATAACATAAGTTTTATTATATGAGAAATGACCCATATGAACATATACTCTCTTATCTATGATTATGACTCATATTCAAATGAAAGATTATGACCCTGAATATGATATGACAAACAACAAATAACAAGTCATTAACGCAGTTATTATTATATTGTCTAGGATTAATCGTTCAATACAAATACATTTTCAATGTTTATATGCTGTAATACTCAATAATATTAGAATTTTTTTTGTAAGTAATATTGAATTATGATAATTGTATATGTATTATATAAGCTAAAAAAAAACTCTAAATTAAATTGTTATATATTTTATACTTTCAGATAAATGTTAAAAGGTATAAATAAAATTATTTCAAGTTTTTCACATTCTGGAGGAAGTATAAGAATGAGTTCGAATAAATATCTTCACAATGTAGATGTTGCTACAGAAAAAGCAACATTTGGAATGGGTTGCTTTTGGTCATGTGACTCACTGTATGGGGCAACATTAGGTGTTATACGAACTAGAGTCGGTTATTCAGGTGGCAAAAACAAAGAAGTGTCATACCGAAACATTGGTGATCATACAGAAGTTATTGACATTGACTTTGATCCAACAGTTATAACTTACGCTCAACTATTAGATATATTTTGGAATCATCATGAATATGGCCTATTAACAAAAGTTAAACGACAATATATGTCTCTTATTTTATATCATAATGAACAGCAAAAAGAAATTGCTGAAAAATCATTCAAGAGTCAAGCAGTAAAACTAAATACTGATCTAATTACTGAAATAAAAAAATTTGAAGTTTTTCATCCAGCTGAAGATTATCATCAAAAATATCGCTTACAAGGACACAGTGAATTCATGTTATCTTTAGGATTAAAACCAGGGGAGTTACTCCAAACATCACACCTGGCAGCACGACTTAATGGATATTTGGTTGGTCAAGGTGGTGAAAAACAGTTTTTAGCTGAAGCTAGTAAATTAGGTCTAAATGATGAAGAACAGAAATATGTTTTGAAGTATTTAAAAAAATATGAAGGTGCAGGACTATTTTGTTAACTACTTTGTAAATGTTCATCGTTTTAAACTGTATTACTGATCAGACTTGCCAAAATTGCAATTAGTTGGAAATGAATACTCAGCATTATTTCTTTTCAACGGTAAAATAGCAATCAATATTTATATAGTAAATTTGCAGCATATAGTGTCATATCACTTTATCTTCAAGTTGAAATCATAAAACTAATTGTAGTACAAAATATTGTGTTAACAAATAGATTGACTTATTTCTGTTCTTATAATCTTTCGTTTTAGCTTATGGCAATTACTGATCATTGATACATCATAATAAATGTAAATGAAGTACATTGTTTATTACAAAATATTGTTATCTAAATTGAGGCTTTATGTAATAAGTTTAAAGATTTTTTTATATTATATTTAAAATATATTTTATCGAATCTTCTACTGTGTGTTTTAAAGAAAATGCATTTTAATGACATGACATGATTTTTGTGTAGTGTAAATTATTGAAATTACAAATAAAAAATCATATTTTTTATTCTGTATTTTCATATTGAATCCTTTCAATAATGCATGTATATAATATAAGAATGAACAAATATACAACTTACCAACTTACTTTTTAATCTTGTGTTGCTCTACAATAAGCTTTCAGTGATGGGCACTACAATACAATATTCACTTGTTTTGAGCCATTGTAATTCTCCTCCTCCCCATCTTTGGAAATGGTTTTTTTTTTTTTTTTTTTAGAAAAAACTGAAAATTTTATATTTTTAAAAGCTTGTAAAATGGTATTTTTGCAAAAAAAAATCAGATTTTTAATGGTTTAATTGTATAAACAAGTATTTTAGACTATTTCGATTATTCAGTTGCAAAATCATATAAAATTAGAAAGTTCTGTTTATTACTATTTTAAATTATATGATAAAAGTGAACCTACGATATCTTCTTCAGTATTATCTATTATATAGTTAAACAATAAGTAAAAGTAGATAACTTTTTATTATTATTAATTTTTTTTTTATTATATATATATATATATATATATATATATATATATATATATATATAAATGTGTGTAGAAATTTTATATTGTTTTACCAGATTGATAATGTTTCAATTCTTTACTCCATGAACATTGATTTCACAAGAAACATAGTTGGATAATGAAGAATTTAAAAAACTCATATTTACAAAATAATATAGTTTTATTTTTTTGAACAGCAACCAGCATTTACGAGAACTCTAATCTGTGGTGCTGAATTGACTTAATACTAGTCGGCAGATGGCAACCCTAATAGTTTTTCTCATCTTTTTATGATGATTTATTGTATATATATATATATATATATATATATATATATATATGTATAATATGTTATATAAAATATAATAAATCTAAAGTCTAACTATAATTAAATGTGATTTCAATGTTACTAAACAACTTTGAAATAAATTCTTTGGCAGCTTGCAATTATGTTAATGATTAAAGTTTAATATATATAAAATTCTTAAAAGTAATGTAACTAGGACCCATTAATTACTTCCACTAAATGTTAAAGTTACATTTTAAGACTTTTTTAATTTATATTTAGTTAATGAAAATAGGAGTCTCATATTTCTCATATTAAATTATTATTGAGCTTTGCGATAATCTCATGTCTAATATATTTTCATATTCAAAAATATTATTTCAATCAATATAATGGCTAAATTGATAATTAATATTAAAAAAGTACATTGAATCAAAACTTGGTTATGCTTCAAAGCAAAAGTCATAATTTTCTGGTGGAGGTGGTATACTTGGAGGGTTCTGTGGTATTTCAAGTCCTTCTACATCTAAAAGACGTAATTTAATATCCATTGATAAAAGTTTCTCTAAATCTGATGATTTACTAGCACTAGTCATTTCATTGCCTAGAAGAGCATTGACACCATCCAACCAATAATCGAAGGTCAATTCATCAGGAGCAACAAAATCTAGTGAATGTATATCAATTGAATCTAATATTAGTGAAAATGCCAATTGATGTGTAGTTTTCCGACCTTTTACATCTTTCATATGAGGGCAATCTTTACCAGTTACTAAAGATTTGATATCAACAACAGAAACTTTACTTGTTAATTCTTCCAGATTTGGAATATATTTTTCATCACAATCAGCATAATGGAAAGCTTTTCGATTTGGTGCCAGACAGACAAACCAAAATTTATCTTTAATCCTGTTACCCCGATTAGAATATTTTGTAAATCTGGTTCCATCTATTAAATAATTCAGACGCTGTTGCTGAATTAGTTCTAAAATGTCTGGAGTAATTTGTTCTTTCAGCTCAATAATAGGCTTTGCTTTCGATTCCCACTCCTCACGAGAAGCCCGTTCTTGTTGCCGAATATTAGTTATTTCTGCGTATGTTACTTGCTGTATCTTCTGTTTAAATTTATCTAAATTAATAGGCTTCGTTTTCAATACATGTGTTATTTGTTCACGCACCACTCCCATCACTTTAACAAAATCTTCAATTGAAGCTCGCATGTCTTTCCATGTTTTATTTAAAATAACAATACATATACAGAATAATTCTTCAAATGGTCTGTCATGTGTAAAAAACATAGGATGATAGGCTTGACCTTGTTCACTTGGCTGTTCTCCTATCCCTAAGATTTCACATAGCAATTTAGTCAACTCCACACTAGTACGACCAAATGGACATTCATGTTCATCTGCTCTGCAGCTATTTTCTAATACTACTTTAGTGTAAGCTTCTGTATGATTCTTAGCAAAATACAGCATACAATCCAAGGCAAGCATTCCTGGTGGAGTCTCATTGAAATCTAATGCAGGATTAACATCATATCGAAATCCTAGTTTTTTAAAATCTTTAATGACATGATCAAGTTGTTTTCTATTAGCAGCATCTGAAATATTTAATGAGCCTTCATTTTCAAAAGCTATTCTGCGAAGTTCTTTGATTTTATCCATGGCATCCACATCATTCGGATCCATTTTCAACATCTTGCGCTGCTCTAAAAGTCCTAAGGATAATGTTTGTAAAACATATAATTGATGAGCCATTTCAGTTCCTACATGATTATGATCATGTAGAATATTCGTAAGTATGACATTCCTGACTTGCTTAGAACATAATGTCGCAGATATTGCATTCCGTTTACTTAAATCAGATTTTATAAATAGTGCATTTATTAATGCAATCGCATTTAATTGTATCATAGGATGAGATGAATGTTGTAGATGCATGACAAGATTTGGAAATGGTATTTCTTGTTCAACTTGTGCATATTTATTTGTACTATTTTGTACAATATTTTCAAGAATTGATAAACTACAGCATATTATCTGAGGATCTAATGATTCTGATTGATTGATAACATAACTGGCAACCTTATTTATAAAACGACTCTCTAAAATATCCCAAGAAACTATACCGTGATCCATTAAATCAACAAATGATTGTAAACAATGAGCAAGAATCACAGGTTTGCATTTTTCTGATTCAATTTTATTTATAAGCAGTGACAGACCTTTTTTACTTATAAATTCTAATGCAAATGTTACATCTTTTCTTAATGTTGCTAATTTTTGCAATGCTTGCAAACGCTCATCTGATGAGCCTAAATTTAACTTTTGCAAGAGGTCTTGTGCCGTTTTTGATGGAGAATGCTCCAATTTTAGAATAAATCCATTTTTTATCTCATTTCTATTCTTTTCAGTAACATACCTTTGATTTATGATTTCACTGCTTTGTCCATCGGGTCTATTTTTATCTGTTATACATTTCTGGTCATTTGTTTCATAAAACTGTAATGCATATAAATTTGGATCTGATATATTCCAGTTATTGCACAACTCTAAAATTGTGGCAGCCAGCGGTTGTTGCTGATTAAATTGAATTAGTTGTGCTTCAGCACCAGACTTTTTTACCGCTATTTTAACAATGTGAGAATCTTTCATTGTAGCCAATGATTTCGTATTTTTACTAGACATATTTGTATTAAATTAATTATTCTTGACTTACACTGGGAGTTACACTTTAATTATCTGGGCGTTGGTTCAGTAAAAAAAAAACATAAAACTATTATTATCAAAATATATGCATTTGAAAAATATTAAAATAATAAACTGATACCTAAATTTACATTGCATATGTTCATTTCTATGTGCAAAAATTCTTAATGAGTTGAATAAAGTAAAATATTAGTGGAAAACATTTGACAATCAAAATTTAAATAGAATGAAGTACCTTTAACTAATGAAAAATGTTAAACGAATACCAACCTTAAAAAAACTTTGTATTCTTTTCAAACTTTAAAATCTTTGTATAGTATTTTTATAACTTATAAGCATCTTAGAACTTATTTATAACTTTTTTCATAGATAAATACATAAATAAGTATAGTATGGATAATTAAGTAAATCTTATAAACTTTACGTTTCAAAAGTGATTTATGCAGCTTAATCCATATATAAATTCAAAATCACATTCAACATGAACTCAAAATTATACTTATTATATTATTATCCATTTGACGATTTTTGTGCGGCTCCATATGAAAAAAATCGCACATTTTAAATTTAATAATTGATAAAACAAACAATATTTGTAAATCCTAATATAGTTGAACGAGCACTAAGTCAGCTTCAACCGAAAGTAATGGTCATCAATCAAATTAATAATGATTACAGATAATGAAAAATAATTGTCAACGCAACAAAATAAGCATAAGTGCTAATACTAGTTATAATTTACATACATGGTAGGTAGAAATTTTGTGTATATTTTAGTCTTTTATTTAAAAAAAAATCAATTTTTAAAATTAATTCAAATGCATATCTAATTATTTCAAAGAAATTAACCATACAGGTAATTGAAGGTAGAATATATAAAATAATATGACAAATTAATCAGAAAAATTGTTCATAAAACTTAATTTTAATTAAATTAAATATATATAAAATAATTTTAGTGAAAACACCATATTTTCACATGCAGATCAATTTCAAATACAAAATATGTGAAATTCAAATTAGTTCAAATTTTTACTATCCACCGTTAAAATTCCTGAAAAAAAATTATGTATTAAAATTATGATAACAAGTTGGGTTTATATATTCAAAGATGTATGAAATTACCTCTTTCATTTAACATCTTAAAAAGTGTTTCTCGTTCCAATGCTATAAAAGGTAATGTGGCTTTTTCATAATAATTGCTCATTAATTCTATATTATTAATTACAGTATCCAATAAATGTGCTCTTTCACAGGACGTGCCTAAAAATATATTCAATTCATGCAGTAGAATATAAAGTAATAAAGTGAAGTAAATTAATACCTGGTGCCTCAAATTTTATGTACACAAAATGTATGTGAAGATGATAAAAAGAAGGCTGATAATGGAAAAATATCCGCAATTGTTCTTTAGAGTAACCATATTTGCTTTTGATTGCTTCCTAAAAAGAAAAAGGAAATAGTTATAATACCAAATATATTTTGTTAGTGCAGGAAAAACAAATATGTATCATAAATTATTTATTATTGCAAATGAAATTTAAATATATATATATATATATATATATATATATATATTTAATTGTATTAGGTAATCTGTTATTTTATTCATTGAAATATAATCTAGATTTGATTAAGATATCTTTTACTATTTATTGATAGCATTTTTTAAAAATAAAAAATAGTTATATTTAAATAAGTTAGTAATTTACATCAAATAATTAATTATTCTTATATTATTTAATTCTGAAACTAATAATTGAGAATTATACTTAATTTATTATGAATTATATTATAATTTCATTGAATTTCTATATCAAATAAAAAGCCAAGGTAGCCAGTACCTAAATAAAATAAGCTCTCTAAATTATCGGTTATAAAACACACATTAAAAATATATAATATATTTACCGTTACTTTATCTCGAACATTTTTCAACATGGGTAAATGCGTTTCATTTAAATCCCTAATAGATTTTAAATTCTTCTGTCTAACAATTGCCAAGTAATATAAAGAAGAAACATCTTTTCCGTCCCATTTCAAATCTGGAATAGCTACAAAACCAAGTTCAGGGCAATCATCTTTAATTAAAATTCGTTCTTTTTCTTTGCCATGATCTAAGATATTATATACCCACTGCAAGAGGTTTATACTTATTACTATACATTGAAATTAAGATTGACTGATTATATTACCTGTAAACTTAATTGTTCTTTTAATATATGTGGCAATACAACATCATTGTAAATTTCCGGAGTTTCTTTAACAACATATATTTCTTGATCTTCAAATTTTTTAATATGCTGCTCTGTTGCTGGATATATTATTACAGCTTTTAGCCCTATAATAGATAACAAAATATTTTTATTACAATGAAACAGCTATACTTTATTACTATGTATTGATTTGTATGTGCATATATAAGATAAGTATATAGCAGATATACTTGTTGAGAATTCTATTGGATTCTTTCATATTATATAGTTATTGTAATAATAAAATCTTACCATTAATATCTGTTTTAGGAAAACACTCGTAATTTCCATAAATGTCATTAATGAATGACTTGGTTAGGGAACAATTGTTTGTCAGATATCCATTATTTTGGTCTTCCAAACTTTCTTCTGAAAATGGTTTCTTTTCCAAAATAACAATAGCAGGATTTTCATTGTTATTAAATGTGCCCTGCAGAAAACAAACTTTAGACCTGGTGTTATTACTTAATATTCTCGTTAATTTGAAATTTGAGAAGTCTTTTATGTGATCTTGATTAATTTCTTCGTTCGGTTTCATTTTCTTACTACCGGACGCTGAACCATTGGTTGATGGGGTAGATGACATTCCAGCTATTGAATTGTTAAGAGAATTCCTAGAAATCTTATTGAAATTTGTTATAAGTATACGAAAAATATTCATATTCTCTCAGTTCAGCATTTTTTATGCTTTTTTGTCGATGAAAGAGTACAAGTACAATATGTGTCTATATCCCAGGCAACAGCAGCCACCTAAGGTAATATAATTATGGTATTATTATTATTAATATAATTATAGTATTATGTATTGTCGAGGCTCATTCTAGCTTTTACTTGAGCAGCTCCAGGAAAACGGTATCGGAGCCATAGATAAATAAGTCGGAGGGATACATCACATCACAACACGTGACTCATGCAGTGACTTACCTTGACACGCCTGACACCACCTGACACAATAATACACCATCATTTTTTTATCTATGGACACACCAAAGCTAATTCCTAGATAAAAGAAGGGTATGTATGGAGTTTTGTTTGGTTTTGTTATCGATATCTAAAAAAAACATTATTTATGCCCTCGACTATTTTGACAGCTCATATAATCCAGGATATGTTTTATAAACGTTTCGATGTGAAGCAAGTATTAAATTTTGAAAACTGTTGGAATCGAATATAAAATAAATATAAATCCGGATAAATTATGGACTTTATAGAAGCAATAATCGAGTATCGACCAAGGCTGCAATCTTGTCACGTGTTTTTAAAATTTAATAGCATTATTAATAAGAATGATATCAATATAATTGTACTTAATAACAGCATAGAAATCAATTATATTGGAAATCATAAGAATATGGCTTCTAAAATTGAAGATATTATTAATTTAGACCTAAATAAGTCTGATGCCCAATTCCATATTAGTCTTGACACATCTGATCATTTTACTTTGAATAAATTATCACTTTCGGGTTTGATATATTCTGGTAATGAGATAACATTTAGATTACAAACTGAACCTAAAGAACAAAATAAAGGATCTTTCAAAACTGAACTGATAACAGATTTATGGAAAAATTATCTCACAGAAAATGATGCATATAAAATAAATATATGCAAACAGACCCCATATGAAATTAGTTGTAGAAAATGCAACCATGCAATGTTTTCAACACAAGGTTTCTCTCGAATTTTAGAATTACCGAGAGAAAACATTGATATGAGTGACTGGTTCTGCCATAAGCATAACAATCAATCTAAAACATTTGCTATGGAGCCAGAGATAGATGCATTATTTTATAAAGATAATTGTATAGTAATTAATAACAAAATATTTACAAATCATCAAATTGAAAATAGTAATACAATTCTTTGCTCAAATTGTAAAACAAATATTGGCTCTAAAAAGATGAATACTATAGAGTTTTATAATTTTGCAATTGGAATCAAAACTGAGTCAAATAATATTTTTCACATATTTTCATATGATAATTGCCTTTACGAAATTGCTGTCCAAGATTTCATTCACTTAACTAAAAAGCGTATAAGTGACAATAGTATATTATTAATGCCCCAGTTATTTAACATTTTATATAAAACAAGTGATTCAAAAAATAAACAAAAATATATTTTACTCAAAATTGTTGATGTAAATGCACAGGTATTAAAAAGTGATAAAAAAGGAGTTTTGACTTTAAAAAATACCTTAAAATTAATGTACAAAATTGAAAGTGAATATGATGAAGTGCGAATTCAGTGGGAAAAAAATGAAAAGTCTGCAAATAATATTATAGAATGCATTCCTTATGAATTGTTTACATCAGCTAGTAAACATCTACAAATGATGTCAGAGTTTATACCAATTTCTTGTAAATTTCTTAATGGTTTTACATTGAGTTATTTAGATTTATAAGTGGACCATTTATATAAAAATATAATTATTTTTGCACAATGTCTTAAAATTATAATTAAAGTGGAAATATGATATCATTATATGTAACCTTTATTTGTGTTTTAATTTCAAATAACATGTTAATTTAATTGAATCTTTTCAGTTGTATGGGAAAATTTTCAGTAACTAAGTAATCATCATTGAAAATGATCACAAGGTTTATTTCAAATTCTGTAAGAAAATGTTTACATTTTTAATTTTTAATAAATATGCAATTTAATAACACTAATTAAACATATCCCACTTACCAACTTTAAAATTATTGGTGACCAGGGTAGGGCAAGTAAAGAGCCTTGGGAATATCATATATATAGGAATTGGTATGTTTGTACAAACATTTCCATCGCCAATTTGTATGTTTTGAATTTCAGTTGCTACAATAAGAAAATTTTAGTTATCAATTTAATCAATATGAAAAAACTTTAACCAGAGCATGAAAAGATGCTATTGATATCTTTTTTTTTAAATAAATTCATCAAACTATTAATTCATTATTTAAATAAATGTAAAGATGTATGTTTGTGTATAATACAAAAAAACAACTACCATCTCTAGCATATCCTTCAGCACATCCACATGTTTCCACTCTCACTAATTGTAGCTCTATTGATTTTATTGGCACTTCCGTACTTTCCACTACAACCTATCAAATACAGTAAATAAGCATATATTCAATTTATAAAAAAGACTAATTGTCCCAAGTGATGTATGGTAATATAAAGTGTTTTTTTTTAAGTAATACTGATTTTTTTAATTTTTTCAGTTTATATCAAATTTCAGTTCAATTAACAACCTTCTTTTAATCCTTACATCACTCTAAGGCTATTAAAATCTTTCATATATTACTTCTCCAGTAAATTGTGATGTTATACAACAAACTGTGGAATCTATTCTTCCTGATATCGAAAATCTTGGAATGTTAATTCTATTCCGCCCAGTTGAAGTCTTTAATAAACTATCCGGACTTATTTTGTACACTACTGGTACAGGAGGTTCTGGAGGACTTGGCTATAATAATGAAAAAATTCATTATTAAAAAAATTTCTGTTACTTATAGTTATTCATTCATTCTGCATGAAATATTTTACTTCAAATAAATTAAAAAAAAAATAATAATAATTTATCCAAAAAGTTAGACTACATTGCATTGTTGTAAATAAATAATTATTAATAAGAGATTTCTGTATGACAAATATATATATATATATATATATATAAATATAAATAATAATAATAATAATATTAATGGGTAGTACTGCCCTAGGGCAGGTCCGTGAGCTGAGTTAAACTCCAACTCCAACCAGGGAAGAAATAGTGTGAGAGATTTCCCATTCCCATTTCATACATATTTTTTATCTAAATTTCCAAATAAGTAAATATATATATATATATACATAATCATATATATCGCTAATATTTATTTAATTTCAAAGTTTATATTCACAGGCGAAAAAAGATCTATTTATACCAAAACTTTTGTATACAATTACCTTATATTGAATAATAAACTGCAGTACTTTCTGCAAATCCTTGGCCAAAATATTTCGCTTAAGATCACATTTAAGCAAATATGTGATATTTATAAATACCCCATGATATGTTTCAAATAATACTTTATTCCCTTTTCCAGAAGGTTTCAATAAAAACTCAAATGGAATTTCTGTCTTGCCTGCAGGTATTTTTCCAGGAGAAGCAAGTTCAATATGAGAGAAAATTAATTGAATAGGCTAAAAAAATCTCCGTAAACAAATGATTTCTATTAATCTGTATTATCAAAGCTTACTTTAACTGAATTGTAAAATGATTCTAGAATGCCAACATTTTTGGAACTAAGTTGCAAATTAACAAGGCCCTCCATGGAGAGTGTAATACCATCATGTTTGATATCAGAATTTGATTTAACTTCAACAATTCCCGCAACAACTTCCTGCAAGTATAAAGAATATATATTAAAATAATTCAATAAAATAAATGAATAATGATATTACAATAAAAAGATTACATTATTTATGAAGTATGTTATTTGAAAACTAAACTAATTAATAAGTATACACATAAAATAAACTGTTGATTAAAAATAAGGAGCGCTGTATCAGATCATATTAAAATAAATCGCATACCCCTTCAAAAAATATTTTGTTATTTTTTTTCAATTTTATATCCACCGATATTGACATTGTGCAATATTTGTATTATTTACATTTATAAACATAAACAATCTAAAGCCCTATATCGCGTTTGCGAAATATGTAAACAAAACGTCAAATATTCCATAACCTGCACCCCTGCACCTGCACAGTGCATGCTGTCATTCTGTCAAAATAAAGAGCAAATGAGAAAAATATGGTGCTATGTGGTGCGATCTATTTGTGCTTATTTATCTATGATCTATGGTGTACAATTTTGTTGATTAGCAAAGAAGCATAGATAAAAGAAATTCATAGATAAAAAAGTTTAGATTAGATTAGATATGTTTTAAACTTTTATAGCGACCTCTGCGTTCTTAACACTACAAAAGCATATACAAATGGTCAAATCTATTGAATATATACAATGATATCTATTGTATTTTTAATCTATGTCCAGACTCTAATTTGTTTGTCATCAGCGACGTGCATGTAATTCATGTAGTCATTTAAATAATTCCTACATTAATCACGATTTATTCCTTTACTATGAAAATCTCATAAGAGATGATATTTGAATGGATTTTGATATTATTTAAATCATTTACCGTTGACATATTTTAAATAGCATTAAAAATAGTTTAATATGTGGTGTAACAAGATCAGAAATTCTTTTAAAGCGAGTTCAATGCTTGGGATATTTCAACATGCCAAACGAACTAAACTTAAGTAATTTACAAATGATATTATTTTAATATCTTATTAGTAGAATTAGTAGAGTATTTCTTGAAAGAAATTGCGATATTATAATTGACGTTTGGAAAATAAAAATGATTGAAAATATATATTATACATATTTAGTTAACATATAAAAAATACAAAAAGTTAATATAAATAATGATAGCCGCGACTGTGCAACTAATTTTCAATTATTTCATTTTATTATTATTATTTTATTATATTATTTTATTAAAATACATTTTTCTGAGTTGTAAGAGAAATCAACAGGTTGCATGAACTTATATTTTTACCCAAAACTAGGGAAAACTTTTTATTTGGTTTAGTGAGTTTTGGTTTAATGGTAATTGTTTGGTTAAATGGATTTCGATGACTATAAGTGGCATTTTGTCTTAAACTTATATCTGTAATTAATCCAAATTAACAATTATCCAAATAAATTGGTTTTGGTAAATTATGAGGAATTTGATTTAGGAAATTTAATTATAACAATTGCTTGAGGAAGCTAAAAACTAAATTCTTTAATTGGTAATTACAAAGAGTTGGTGAGGCCAAAACAATTGTAATTGCTACGAGGAAAATACGTGACCTCTCCCAAAAACTAATCTATCTAATTCTCAACCAATTACACTTTTTTTCTAAGAAAATGCATTAAAATACATGCGTTTTTTGACAATTTTTTATAAAAAATATTTATCTTAGATATGATCTGGCTAACAAAGATTGTAAATTCAATTTAATATAAAAATAACATATTTATATAGATTCAGAATGTAATCTGATAAAAATGAAATTATGGCGAATAGTTTGCCTATGGTTAAATAATTAAATAAGTATCGATTATAATAATATCTTTCAAAGTTAAGGAAGATTGATGTGGAAAACTTACTTTATTATTTATTATTAAATGAACTAACGTAGATGTATAACAATTTGGTAAATATATTATTATTGCATTAGGTATGTTGCTGCATTTATTGGTACAGGGGTTGGCATTAGCAGCAACCTCAAAGACAAGCAAGTTGAAATGTCTGTTTCAAAAATAAACTGCACAAAATTTTTAGCTGACCCTATAACACCTGTAGAAGATTTACAAAAAACTCCAAACTCCATGCGAACAAAAATGGAATTACTTGTGCTACGAATACAAGGGGAATTTGTTAAAGCATTGGAAAATGAGGAAAATTTTGATTCCAAATTTCTGATTGATAGATGGAATAGGCAAGATGGTAAAGGGGGTGGAATTACTTGTGTTTTGCAGGATGGAGATGTGTTTGAAAAAGCGGGAGTGAATATCACAGTAATGACTGGTGAACTAAAACCCCAGGCCATTCAGCAAATGAAAAGTCGTGGAAAGCAATTCAAAAATGAAGGTAGGAACAATAAATTAAACATGATCTAACTGAAATATATTATGATCACAATATTTAAAGCAATTTTACCAAAAAAATTGACTTATTAAGTGAAAGGCTCCCTGATTACAAACATAATTTGAAAGTAGCCAGCTTTGAGATAATATTAATTGAAACTAATAAATAGTTAGTTTACAGTGAATTGAAGTATTGGAAGTTGTGGCATTTTTGGTATTGGATAATTATCGAGATTGTAAATCACACATAAATCTGTAGTCTGAAATCATTTATTCCACTTAAATAAAATTTTACAATACTTTGTGATTTATTTTTAATTTTTGACACAATTAAAATGTTTCAATCATAGATGCAAATATGCTCAACTATTTATTTTGGTCTTTGAAGGTGAAGGTTATAAAATATATTTATGTAACTACACCTAAGTCTGTTGTTACACGGTAGATTGGTTCCAGAAGAAGCCGTGTAAAAAAAAAACGTGTAAAAAAGACGTTGATCTTATACAAAAATGGGTGATTTGTTCCTAATCTCTAAAACCTATTAAAATTAGTGAAAAACTAGAATTTTTAAGAACAAGAATTCATGTTTATTTTATTAAATCAAATATATAATGCTTATTTTCACAAGCATAGTAATTAATGATAAAAAAGATATGCACTATGTAATATAAATTAAATGTATGGCAAGTTCAGGAACTAAAAAACTATGTTGTGAACGAAAAGAATAGGTTATTCAATTTGTAAGGTAAAAAATAAAATAGAATAAGTGATAATCATAAATACAACAACATAAATTTAATTGCTGTCGTCATCAGTTATTCGCATTCGCTTTGACCAGTAAAAATTGTTTGTACGCGCTAAAGGGGAATTCACCTAAATCTTTAAGCTAGTGTTCGCAAACTATCGATACTATCGATGGTTTCAGACATTTTTCCTTCATAAATACTTTTTTGTGATATGAACATACTTCGCAAAAATTAAATTTGTCAAACAAAATTTAAGTACATAAAATTTCAAATCGTGCTAAATGGAATAAAATCGTGTAAAAAAATTAAAAATATTCAATTTTCAAACCGTGTTATATCAAAACCGTGTACAAAAAGACCGTGTAAAAACAGACTTAGGTGTAATATTAATCAATATTTGACAATAATATTGTTCTTAAATATGAAATTGTTGATTAAATTTTTAAATATATAATTATTGAATAGTATAGGTGGACCACTAGAATTCTTTGCGGCAGGTGTTAGTGCAGTAATTCATCCCAAAAATCCTCATGTACCTACTGTACACTTTAATTATCGATATTTTGAAGTTAAGGATTCAGACAATAAACTTCATTGGTGGTTTGGCGGAGGAACTGATCTCACACCCTATTACTTATATGAAGAGGATGCAATGCATTTTCACAGAACTTTGAAAAATGCTTGTGATCTTCATGATCCAGCATATTACCCAAAGTAAGTATTAACTATTGTACTAGTTGTATTCAAAATTTTATGGTTATTATATGGAAGATTAATGCTTTGTTATTTGAATTACCTTACTTTATTCAGTGATAGTTTTTATTGCACTGGCAGTATTTTAATATATTGCACTCTAATTTAGAAAACATAAGGTAAAATGATTTGGGAAATAAGGAATCCACTTTTTATATATAAGAATGTATAAAAAGGTACATATAGATCACTATCTCTGACCAATTTATTATTATGTTTAATAATGTTGTGGGTGGTGAGCTGGATAGGTGGGGTGTATGCACAAAATATTATAGGGAGAAACACACAAGACAAGAAAAGCACAAGGTATATTTGAACATTAGAAATATAATGTAAGACAATTTGAATATTGGTATGGGTTTCAAATATTACAAAAATTTATAATATTATATATATATATATATATATATATGGGTAATACTGCCCTAAAGCAAGTCCGTGAGCTGAAAAAACTCAAACTCAATTCAGGAAGAAAGTAGTGTGAGAGTTTTCCCCATTTCCATTTCACACCGCAGTTTCCGAGATGGGCTAATTTTCAATTGGAAACATATTTTGATTGATCTATATTTTCAAGTGAAAATGCGACCCCATCCAAATCGGTCCGCGCGTTAGCAACCTTGGCCATATACAGTACAGGCCAAAAGTTTCCGGACACATGAAAAAAATCTCATTTTCTGAGTTTTTAGCTATATTTTTCATATAAAAAAAATTTTATTCAAGTTAGTTTTGTATATTCCACGTGTTTCCACGTAGTATTAATATTTAGTGACTGATTTGTAACCAATTTGTGAGAAATGATAGACTAATTAGAAATGAAAATGTTAAAATGTCACTGCAGTCGATTTTCCTGAATATGACCACCCTTTGCTTTGATCACTGCAGCGCATATTTTTGGTAATTTTTCGTCCAATAGAACTGTTGTGGGACGAGCTTAAACGCCGCGTGAAGGATTTGCATCCAACCAGCCTTCCTGCCCTGTGGAATTGCCTTAACGAGTCCTGGAAGAACATACCTGCGCAAACATTGCAGAAACTCGTCGAAAAATTATCAAAAATATGCGCTGCAGTGATCAGAGCAAAGGGTGGTCATATTCAGGAAAATCGACTGCAGTGACATTTTAACATTTTCATTTCTAATTAGTCTATCATTTCTCACAAATTGGTTACAAATCAGTCACTAAATATTAATACTACGTAGAATGTACAAAACTAACTTGAATAAAATTATTTTTATATGAAAAATATAGCTAAAAACTCAGAAAATGAGATTTTTTTCATGTGTCCGGAAACTTTTGGCCTGTACTGTATATAGGGTTGCAGAAGATAAAAATTAGCAAAATTGCAAACTAATGTAATGAAACAGTATAGGCGCATTGTAATACGAAATTGGTTCACCTGGACATGTAAAATTAAGATGCCTGAAACTTTTAAAATAACTTATCAAAATTTTTTCTATATATCGATTTTCAACTTTATCCTATCCCTCGGCAGAGATATTAATAAAAATATGCAAATGTAGCTCTATTTTAAATTTAATTTTGTCATTAATGAAGTAGAACAAAGTTGGTGTGGCTGTATTCACACTTTGATTAAATCTTCAAAATGTTATTTATACAAATACTAGCAAACCCGACGAACTCCGTTTCGCCACCAGATGGTTTCGTGAGAAAGATGAAGAAATTTTTTGTATGTTTTATATTTGAAAAGGAAAAATTTGATTTTATTATACAACAGTAATGAATTTATTTCGATTACAAAAATGCAGTATTTTTTAGTTGAACTTCTCTAAGTAAATGAAAGTAAATCCGCAAATTTTCCGTTTCATTGAAGTGCTCTTTGGTAAACCACATTTTTTGTTTTTTGGTCTGACGTTAACACGAACAAAGCGGATGGTTTTCCAACTCGTGAACAGGCAACGTATAACTACCCATGTGAAAAACAATGATTTTCTAAATAATCTATTTGAAATTTATCCCGCGAACACTAAGCGATTGGCCTTGCGACTTGTTATTGCGAACGCAAGGCAAACTGGATATTGCAATCGTTTGAAGTCAAACGGAAGACCAGTCAGAATCATTGGTATGTCACCAAATCGCCAGCAATTTTTGATTGAATGGTGAAATTCAGGGCGTGTACATCATTATTCTTTGCGGCAAGAATTGCTCGTTGACTTAACCAAGCATAATTCTGATAATTCTCACTAATATCTTTACTCGAATTTTTATTTACGGTGCGTAAAGTTCCAGCAGCTTGCATTAAGGCACGATGCCATGCACAACGAATTTTCTTAGCTATAAACCTTGCGGAGCCCGAGACCTTTCCAACGAATGCAAAATTGTCGAAATCGGTTTGTGCGTTCTGGAGTTATATCGTCAGGAAGGAAAACCCGACTTGTTTTTATATATATATATATGTAGATAATCTATTTGAAATTATTTAAAACAATTGTTGATTATTTTTATTACTCGAATTTTTAATTACGGTGGTTGAAGTTCCAGCAATTTGCATTGGGGCACGATGCCATGCATCACTAATTTTCTTAGCTCTAAACCTTGCGGAGCCCGAGACCTTTCCAACGAATGCAAAATTGTCGAAATCGGTTCGTGCGTTCTGGAGTTATTTCGTCAGGAACGAAAACCCGACTTATTTATATATATATATATATATAGAAGATATATTAAATTTGGACGTCGTCATGGCGTTGCGATATAAACACAATATATAAATAAATTTTGTTGACCAATAATTATATTTCTCACAGATTTAAGAAGTGGTGTGATGATTATTTTATTATACCGCATCGCGATGAACGAAGAGGAATAGGTGGAATATTTTTTGATGATTTGGATTCACCATCTGCTGATGAGGCATTCGAGTTTATATCAACATGCGCTGATTCCGTAATACCATCATTTTTACCAATAGGTAAAGAGTTATTATGAACTGATATAATACATAAAATACTTTTGTTACTGTTCACATATATATTGTACAAATACTTCATAGATTCTTTGCATTTTATTTGCAGTCAAAAAAAGAAAAAATGTTAACTACAGCTATAGAGAACGTCAGTGGCAGCAGGTCAGACGTGGTAGATATGTGGAATTTAACCTAATGTATGACCGAGGCACTAAATTTGGTCTTTATACACCTGGAGCTCGTTATGAGAGTATCTTAATGTCTCTTCCTCTAAATGCGGTATAAATCAATATTATCATCATCATCTTTGGAAGATAAATCAATATTGTTTCATTTTTACATTTTAGCGATGGGAATATATGCACAAAGTACCAGCTGGATCAAAAGAGGAACAACTATTAAAAGTATTAAAAGAACCTTATGATTGGGTATCATATAAAGTGAACGAAAAGTAAATTTAAAGTAAAAGAAAAGTAAATCATTTTTATATTTCTATAATTAATTGTCTAAAATCTTATTAATAAATTATAAAAGATATTCTTGTTAAATTGATAGTTTGATTCATTGAATTTTCAGGTTTTCTCAAGGTACAGTTGACAGTAACCGATTTTAAGATTGCAAAATTAACAATCGATAGTTTTTGAGATCTTTGGTTACTTCATAAGCATGAAAGTACCAAATTTAAATTGTATTTTCTGCATATTTTATGCACTTTATTTTGTTATGAGACTTTAAAAAATAAAATAAATATTTGTTATAATGCAAGTGTATTTACAATATATACATTTAACTGCATTATTTTTTTCTGATAAGTTAATCAGACTCTGAAGTAATTTCGTGTGTATTATTTGCATCAATTACCATTTCCTCATCTTGTTCTTCATCTGATACTTCATCCCAATTATCATCTGATGAAGATTGCAAAGCTGCAATTTCATCAGATTCTGATTCACTTGAATCTGGAAGCAAATACAGATGATATAGATGAAGGAACAAAGCAATTTATAGAATATATTTTAATATTTTTAAGATCCAGCAGATCACAAGCAAGAAAAACAAGATGCTGTGCAATAAGGACAATATTGTAATATTGAGGACCATGGTAGAATGGTGCCAATTTTGGTCAGGTGTAATACAATTGTTAAGATATCAACGACAATGGAAATTGATTGAAAAAATTGCAATATAATCCAAAAGTAATTAATGGTCAACCTATACCAAAACTTAATTTTATATAACTAATTTACAAAATGTATGTAAATTTCTCAAATTTTTCTAATATTCTAAGGAGAAAATGTCATATGGTAATAAAAAAAATTGCGGACACTTACCTGGATCTTGAAAAACTAATAAATTCTTTTCAGTGTATTCTTCATTGCACTGATCTTGTACTGTTGATATTTGATTAATCAATAAATCTAAACGACCTTGTAATCTGAAATTATTAAGAATATGCTACATGGAATAAATTAACTTTTAATGATATCTATTTGAAATATATACCTTGATAAAGGTTGTAAGAGGTTTAATCGATTCTCTATTAATCCAAGACACGGTGATAATATCTCTACAAGTGTTTCACTTCCGACAGACATCAGATGTGCGGCATGTGATTGCAGTAGTATCCTAAACCACATTGTGCCAATTTGTGAGCTGAAAAATGAAAATAAAAAATAAAAGAAGGATCAATAACAATTTTTCATATGTTTAATAATATATTTTTGTAACAATATTAACCTTAGTGTTTTACCATGTATATAACTAGTTAGTTCTCGAATGAGAGGTATGAGATATTGAACAGGCAGTCTGCTGATGGTATTTTGTATAATTTTCTCGTCCTTCTTCATGAGAACACCCTGCAATATACTGAAAAAATATATTAATAAGATTGTTGAAAAAATAACTCAAATACACATATACATACATACTATACTATACATACATACACATATGAATAAATTCAAAAATATTATATTAGTTTATTTTTATAATTATATGTATTTAAACATATAATAATAAAATTCTTAAAAAATTTTAGATAAAACTTAGAATTGGTAAACTAACAATGCAAAATACTAATCTATCTAATAAGATATCTATATCTATAAAAATGCCAGGTGTAACTTTCAAATCAAAATATAGCTAATATTTAGTCACAAAAAAGCTCAATTTTGACATATGAGAGTGCTCATGTAAAAAAAATGTCCAGGCAACTAAATAATTTGTTAAAACTCATAAAGTATTCATTACAATATAAGGAAATCAAAAAAATCTTATTTTAAATTATCATAAGACCTACTTTTTATCTTTGCTGTGAAGTCCTTGTATTAACAAATGAGACATGTTGTCATATTTTGGCAGACCCTTTGTTGGACTATCAACCGCTAAACTCAAATTTTCTAAACGACTCTCCATTGGTAACTCAATCTGAAAAGTAAATTATCACAAAGTTGATAATAATTTGTTTATTAAAATAAATCATGTAGCTAAATAAAAGTCTAATGCACTTTTTTATATGAAATATATACACAAACCTTTTTTCCACTACTTCGCTTTAAGTTATAAATATGACCAGAAGAAGGACCTAAATATTCCACATCTTGTGTTTCAGTCACTTTAGTCTTCTCTATGTTTTCTTTCAATTTTTTAGCTGAGGAATATGGATCTTGCCTTACTAAAACTTGTATCTTACCAATTGCTTGCGGCTTCTGTAATAAAAACATTACACATTAAATATAGATAATTTAAAAAATTTGAAATGGTCAAGTTTTTACAGCATATCCTTAACAAAGCAAATACACATTGATTTCTTTTATTTAACAAAAATTTAAGTTTAATTTTTAAACCATAGTAATGAATTTAATATTTCCATTTTTATAATTATATCAACAAAACTAAATATAGAATGATAAAGTCAAACAATATCGCCTCAAATATTCATAGATAATTATATATTAAATTTTTAATGAATGTATATATTAATTTTTAGGGGGTGCTTATTTTTATTTTATACATTCCAGAAACGAGATATCGACTTATAATGATGATCATAAATAAAATAATTTTGAAAAAAAAAACAGCAACTTTTAGCTCAGAAAAAAAGAGATAAGAAAAAAACCTACTATTTTCTCGAAAGTCATATTCAGATAAGTGCCATAACCAATAAGAATTAGGTCTTCATTTACTACATGCCCAGTGAGAATTGGTATTGATTGAATTTTGTTATTAGAAGAATTTTGTTTGTCAAATACAACTTGTAATGTAAGCTTCGGTTTCACAGGTTTAGACAATCTTCTGTAATAAAAGATAGAAGTAAGAAATGATTTATTTAATGTGAATTACAAAAATAAGTATTTGTGATACAACATAATTTTCTCACCCATTTAATATATGTTTATAAAAATGTAGCACACCACTTCTTGTAACAGCTGTTAAGCACAATCCATTGTCTTGAGAATTAAAGTCAATGGAAAGAGAATAAGCTATATCCTCCATTTGAAAACTAGCATATGGCATCTTATCCTTTATCTGTAAAATTGAATTTATAAGTTTGTGACACAACCTTATTCATTCTATAATATATAATACCTTTGTTATGCTAACGATACTTATTTAAAAATTTTGAATCACAATTTAAAGCTTATTATGAATCTATTCATGAAAGAACATAACTAATAAATAGTACATAAATAAAGCATGCATATTTCACCTACTGTAAAGAACATAATGCTCCTGAAGTTCCGATCAACATTTATGGTATAATTTTAAAAGCACAACAAAATTAAATGCGTTTTTTTATGGTATTTCGCTTACTATAAAAAACTAGTCTAGTATAATTTATTCATCATATTAACAATAAATAAATTAAACAATCTATTAATTAAGAAATACAATGACAAAAATTAGTTAATAGAAAAATTACTTCTCCAGAAATATTCCAAGCATTCAATATGCGATCGTTTCTACCGCCTGACACAACAAATGTATCATTTTCGCCATCCTCATTAGCAATTGTTACAGATTTCATGATTGACACAATTGAACTATGCCCAGTAAATGATTTAAGTAATGTTTTGTTTTTCAAGCACCACATCTGAATAGTTCGTGCTGCTGAAAATAACCTTCTGTGTTGAGAGATAAGAAGTAATGATGTCGGAAACTCTTTTCCAGCACTCCATGATCTGAAAACAATGATATATTCAAGAATTTTGTATGCCAACATACAAGAAAGTTTGATAAAAAAATTTAACCTAATACACAACTCAAAGTGCCGTTTTCTAAAAATTGTTTTTAACTAGTAAAAAATTGTAAGTTTAATTGACTATTATGAATATTGAGAAATTTAATACATTACATGCTTTTTCGACGACTTTTCAGACACCATTCAATTATCGTAGAATCATCAGCACAAGAATATGCAAAATCACCTCTTTCATAAGAAATACAAGTGATTGATCCACTGTGTCCAGTTTTTGCTGAAAAATCACAAGTCACAACATAAAAGTAAAACTACTAAATAAATTTTTATTGTTTTATAATGATTACCTTCCCCCAGAGTTCCAGTAATTTTGCCTTCATTAAAAGAATACAGTAACACACTGCCATCATTTGTTCCTAATAGTATTGTATACCCCTCCTCTTGATCTACAGCTATAAAACTCTTATCAGCAGATTTACGTTTTTTCTTCTGTGGATGTTCTTTCTATATTTAAAAAACTATTTTATTATAGATTCAAATACGTACTAAATGTTAATATAAAATTATTTAGGTATAACCTATAAAATATATTAAAAAGCGTAATTACTCAAATTCATTAATAAAATACCTGATTTTTAGCAAATTTTGAAGGAGAATAAAATTACAAAAGCCTGATCATTTATCGAAAACATAATTTTAAGCCATACCACGTGTATTTGGACTAACCGTGTGCTTTATCCCTGCAACATGTGCATGGTGAACTTAAATGTAAGTTTGGTGTAAATTCCTGTTTTAATGCATTATTTTCAGTATCCCAAATTTTTAATTTTCCTTCAGCAGTTATACTGGCATAATATTTTATGTCCGGCGAAAACGCCGAATTATTTATATTTATCATTCCAACAGCCATTTCACACTTTAAAAGACTTGCACTCAACTTATTTATTTGTGGT